TAGCTAAGATCGAAACCCGGCTGAATTGGCGTCAGTCACCCTAATCCGTTGGCGCACGGCAGAGATGAAGGTGAATTAATCGTATTTATTTCTGATAAGCACACAGTGACTGAGAGAAATCCATTCGTTTTACCGAAGTGTCTTGCATTATTAGCAGTAACAGTCACTGTTTACAAACTCAAGCTTCCTCCCCAGAGAGCGCGACCGAATTAATTACGTCAGTCGGAGATTCTGCCCCTAAGCCGTTGGCGCCGATCAGGGATGAAGGTGAATTAATCGTATTTATTTTTGGATAAACACACCGTGACTGAGAGTATTCGCTTTACTGAAGAATGAAATGACAAGGGCAAACTATACTTAGTTTTTAGCCGTTGAGTTCCATCCTTCCGAGAGATTTTATCAATATAAATGTGATTTTATTTTGCAAGTATATATTTGATAGTTACTCTTGTTTTTTTTTAATTTAAGAACGCTCATAAATATGCATCAGGTTAACTGAAAAGTTTATGTGTTAGAATTTAAATTCCGTCATATAGCATCTTCGACAGGATTATTTTTAATTTATAGACGCTCATAAATATTCAACAGGTTAACTAAAATGTCTAGGCATTTAATCCTTCTCCTCGTCGTCACTAATCTATCTGCCACTGATCCGAATAAAAAATAGAATTAATTATATACTATACTAAATTTCCTACAACCTATCTTGTCATCCATAACAACACTTCTTCGTTAACTAGCGTACTACAAAAGACCAACATCGTATACCAATTTAAATTAGGAGACCTCATCTTTGATAAAATTGTTAGCGCGTATGAGTTTTACAACAACGGCAATGACAAGAAGGATTACGTTACACTTGAACGATCATAGTTCAATCTCCGAACATTTAAAGGAACTCTCATTTCCGCATTCACAGTTAAGGCAGATATTAGTCGAAAATACATCAGTGCTCCATCAAGCAAAAGCTTAAAATTCTGGAAGTCCGTTATATAACTGAAGTGCGACGAAAAATAATAAAAGTCAACTACCGGTATAGTAACAATGTTCTGAAATAGAGCAAGGTGTTATATAAAAATACTAAATTAAATTAATACAATTAAAAATCTTTAAATTTAAAAAAAATATTTTTAAAAACATCACATAAGTTACCCCCCCCTGCATGGAGGTAAAAAATATTTTGAATTTACGGTGTTAACGCATAACACATCCATAAATATGCAACCCTTGAAGATAGTTACAAATTAGATTGAAAGTACTTGGGAAAACTGAAAATTATTTGAAAGAATATCTTGGAATTTTTCTTAAGCAATTTTCTACAGCCACCAAGAAATTAATTCGTGAATTTGAAAGGATTAACACTAAATGAAATAGACATAATACATCTAAATTATTTAACCGAACAGGCTTGAATGAAAATATGCTACTTAAATATACATACATATACATATATACCGGGTGGAACAGCAAAATTGTCCAAATCGTCTATTTGGATAATTGTTCATCCCACAAAATCTTTAATATCTAAACAAACACTAAACTAACTGAGCTTTTTTTTCAGATTTTCAGATAACATATTTAGCCATCTTGACATCATTTGTCGTAAGAATCAGTGAAAAACTTTTGAGTTATTCAGCTAGAAAAGAGAACAGGTTAAAATTCTTTTGTGTCGAGCAAACTATGTCTTCCCAACTGAGCAATGGTGAGAGGAAAAAGACCATTCAGGCCTCCAGTAATGGTACAAACATTCATACTGTGGCATCCATCTTCAAAGTTCATTCAAGAACATCCAAGAGAATAGAGAATTAGTTTTAAAAAGAGAGAACAGTAGAGAAGAAAACTGGATGAGGAGGTCTCAACAGCAAGAGAGATCACCATTTCATCTTGGAGGTAATTAAATTCGTATTGCTCAAAGTAGAATCCAATAGTGCTATAAAAGCTTGGAGAAATCCAGTCAGATATATTTAATCATTTCTATAACGTTTTAAAACTTAATCTAACAAGTGAACAATTTTGCTGTTACACCATTTGGACAATTTTGCTATTACACGGTGGAGGAGGCACGGTGGAGTAGTGGTTAGCGGCTTGGATTGAGGAATCGGAGAGCTGAGTTCGAATTTTAGTTGAATCTATTGCACTCACTCACGTACTTGGGAAAGGTATTAATCCTATTTTTATCTCTATGGGTAAATTACAGGATAAACAGGTCTAGGAGAAGGAGAACACTGAATTCAAAACCTGAAAATATATCTGACTGGATTTCTCCGAGGTTTTATAACATTACTAGACTCTACTTTGGGAAACTTGTGGCACGTTTGAGTTCTGCACAAAGCCTTCACCGTTATAATCAAATCATATGTGTATGGCTGTCGGTACCTTGACCCATATATATATATATATATATATGTGTGTGTGTGTGTGTGTGTGTGTGTGTGTTATGTGGTATATTGTCAGCAGTCAATATACCACATAACACCCTTGAGCGCTTAGCCTTGGAGCGGGTAGAATGGAGATCAACGTGTTTTAGTGAACTCAGCAGTTTTCAATCTGCTTGTCTGAATCATCTTCAAGAAGCGAGAGCAAAATCTAAAAGGTTAACCAATCTAACAGTGATCTCATCCCATAATCCCAACTCTTGCTTCATATGCGGCCTCCTTTTTAAATCGCTAGCGGTTTTTAATGCCACTTAAGATTATCGCAGAAAATTTCATAACTGAATCAATTAAGCTGTTAGATTCTCATACATCGAAACCAACGGGAGAGTCCATTATTATTATCATTATATATATATATATATATATATATATATATATATAGATAGATAGATAGATAGATATGCAGATATGTAGAAAAATAGGAAAGAACACGTTAGGTAAATAATCCGGAGTTCTTTAGTATTTTTGTTTTTATTTTAAAAAAAACAGTGCTCAATACAAAAGTAGAGCTTAAATTATAATTATTCTTTAAAAATATGATTCCTTCGCTACATAAGAGTTCTCATGTTTCAAAAACGTGAGCCGAAACCCTCAATATAATTATTAAAATTAAATTGAATTAAATTATCAAGCCCTGTTTCATCCTCAAGTGGAATAACCAATTTTGAAATTTACGCAAGTTTATAAGCAAGTTCATTCGCATAATTAATTACTATGGAATCGGCTGGGGCGACCACTTTGGTAAGGGACCTAAGAGTTAATTTTTATCCACATATCAGTCAGCTTTGGAAAGAGTTCAATCCGAGGTATATATATAGGAATAAAGTGTCGCTGCCGACACTGGAGTTTGAACCCAGATCACCAGGCGATCCCATTTTGTCATGGTAAAGAAAATGTATAGCGTCTAAGTGATCTATATCCGGATTACTTCGGAATTGAGCTGGTCAAACTCTCTCATATCTTCTTTATGAAATGAGAGCAATTCTGAAATCGAGATGGAACTGATAGTATTTTAAAATGGTGAAAACAGATCTTTCATTTCCTTTAACGATTTCGATTTGCCGTCCATCTCCACCATCAAAAGCTCATTAACCACAACTTGCTTCCGTCATATTCTGAGCTACAATCAAATGTGCGCATTACATTAATATTAGTAGAAAGAAAATATTTCATCCGTATATCCAAACGAGTACTGCTGCCGTATAATTATTTACCCGCTGCCTCACGCGGCAAGATGTGGCAAAAGGCCGAGTTTTAAAGTGGGGTATCCGAGCCCGTAGCCTTGGGTAAAAATTCCCTGTAGACCACGTAAAAACAGAGTCAGTTTCCCAAGACGAGACTATGCCCTTCGGCAGAGCCTCGTCTGGAGAATACTTTCTGACATAAGCCTGCTGCCGTATATAAGCTGGAGTTGCACAGTGTTCTGTTTCAAGGCCTGATAACGTTCAAAGGCATCTACGCGGACATGTGAGTGATGGATTATTTATTCTTCATCCGACAACCCCTTTCCTCACAGACGAAACGGCGCAAGAATCTCGCGACTCTATCGTTATTTTCATGGAATATTTTCTGCAGAGCGATATTCCTTCGTTCCACCAACTCTGAATCTTACAGCTAAGACCAACCCTACTCCATACACTGAGTCGAATCATCCTCATTCCCTTCGGATTCCACGAGAAATTCAATTCGATCATCTTATTCCAATGAACCACTACTTTTGGAACCGACTCCCAAGTGGATGCTTTCCGACCACTAAAACCTTAACCTGTACAGGTCTAGGGTTAAAAGCTATCTTTTCCACGCATGCTCGTAAACGGATCTTCTTAACTCGTAATTTTACCGCTCAGAAAACAACCCCCTTCAGTAAGCCTCTGTTTTCACTGGCTCTTGAGCCTTGTATAGAGTGAACATTAGCAAACAGTGAATAAAGAGATAAATAGAGAAAATGAGAGAGTATTTCGGCAAAAAAATTAGATACGAAGAGAATGAATTAAATACATATATAAATAAGATAGATAGATAGATAGATAGATAGATAGATAGATATGAATAGACTTAAATAGACAGAGAGATAGAGAAACGAATAGACATAGATAGATAGATAGATAGATAGATAGATAGATAGATAGATAGATAATGAGATAAATAGATAAATAAATAGATATGAATAGACTTAGATAGATAGATAGATAGATAGATAGATAGATATGAATAGACTAGGATAGATAGATAGATAGATAGATAGATAGATAGATATGAATAGACGAGCATAGATAGATAGATAGATAGATAGATAGATAGATAGATAGATAGATAGATTCTGAGATAGATACCGAGATAAATAGATAAATAAATAGATAGATATGAATAGAGATAGATAGATAGATAGATAGATAGATAGATAGAGAGAGAGAGAGAGAGAGAGATGAATAGACTAGGATAGATAGACAGATGTGAATAGACAAAGATAGCTGAGACTGCGATAGAAAGAAAAAAGAGCTCTATTAACAGTTGCAGAAAATGCCGCCTTCTTTCTCGTTTGCTCGCGATTCCAGGATTTGTCATTTTGGAAATTTCCCCTTCTCATCCTTTCGAAACAATCACTGTCTAAGGATATCGAATTCTGTACCTAAGATCCCGCAAGCCCTTAATTATCGCTTCATCTAAATGTCTTCCGTAGCCCGAAAACTCGAAAGAACGAGACAATAAAAATGCGGGGGCCTTCCTGTCCCCTTTTCATTTTCTTTTTACTCATTGCGGTTCCAACTTAGGCCTAACCAGTGGCTTTCATTAGAAATTATGTGATAGAAGAATCCTCTCCTTATTCTACAGACTTTCACTAATGCTCTTGCTAAGATATGTTCAAGTCTTCCTGGATGTTTTAATTACCTTCTTTGATAGTGTTATGGGGTCCACCCCTTTTTGCATACAAGTGGACTCGACCAGTGTGTACTTGGACTGCTGCCGTTAAATACCCAGGATCAATCAGAGTAGAGAGACAGTGATTGTGATTGAGTTGGAGGTAGAGTAATAGTGTGAGGTAACCGCTTGTAGAAGTCACAGTTACAAGCACGTCGACTTTAAGGAAGTCCTACTTCGAGACTGGATTTACCAGACTGTATATATATTACTAGCAGTAGAGCCCGGCGTTGCCCGGGGATGTAACAGTAAGAGAGAGATCAAGTATCGACCATCATAAAGACTGAAAAATAAAATTGACAAAGATTATTGTTTAAGGTTGACGGACACGCATGTCTTAATTAGTTTTTTTTTGTTTTGTTTTTTGTTTCGTTTTTTTTTTACGAATTGGTCAAACCCAAACTCAAACAAAAACATTGTTTTCAATCGTTATTGAATAGAATTTTATTATAAACAATTGTCTTGTAAATGGAATTTTTAAAGCATTCTGAATGTAAAATTAAAGAAAAAAAGTGTGCAAGACAATAAGAAACACTACCTGCCAAAAAAAAGTGAAGTTTTGTTGAAATCGGTTGAAAAATATAGGAAATCCGATCCCATATATAAACGAACACACACACACACACAAACAACCTGGGTTTTATAATAAGTATAACTCGATATGAGTTGTCCCCCTTTCATTCTCGCGACAGCAAAGCCTCTTAATCGTGTTTTCAAATTGATTGCTTGCAAAAACAACTGTGTTTTTCCAATTTTTGGCGCTGTCAGAACCACCGCAAGGTAATTTTACGTAGTCCTGTGAAGTTTTGTTGAAATCTGTTGAAAAATGTAGGAAATCAGATCCAATATATAAACGAACACACACACACACACAAACTGGGTTTTATAATAAGTATGATTATTGCTACTAACCGCGTTTCTGGATCTACTAACCGTATTACCAATTGTATTATTACGACAATACATTTGTTTGCTATATTTCATTCCTGCGTTTGTCAATCATTTGAGACCGGATTTCATCTCGGAATCCACAACAGTTAGCATAAAAGAGGTAGAGATTTTGATAGAGGCATAACCTTTTCTATCATTTCACCCCAAGAAAGGCAGTAAAGCCACTCAGACACAATGGGGTTGTTGAATGTGAAAGAATAAGAAAAATAGAAACATTATTAAGAAGCATCTTGTAACATACCTATGGATGATAATGGGTATGTCCCCGTTCACATAAATACAGTAGTAAATACCCTATGTTGGCGTACAGTTGGAGATCCGTCTCCAGCTGCACTGGTCAAATTCTCTGCCTCCGGACAGAGAAGATCCCCAGAGGAGGCTATGTTGAAGGGCAGAGTCTCGTCTCGGGAAACAGCTACCCGACCACGTCTTATAAGGGATCTACGGGGAATTTTTTGGCCGATCTTACGGGCTCGGATACCCCACATTAAATTTGGCCTTTTGCCACATTTTTGAAGATCAGATTTGGCTGAAAGTATGAGGCCGGAAGAGAATTCAACAAGCAAGAAATGCGAGAGAAGTCATTGTTAGTATAGAACCTACGATTGCATTTAGTCAATTCAAGATGATACCTTGTTTCTAATCTAGTACTGCGCTTAAAATTTATGAAGTCTAACTACCATAGTGGAAAGTAATATTTATTTTGCAAAATAATAAATGTGGCACAAGGTCAAAAGTGGGGGATAGGGAAAGGTTTGTCTTCAGTCTTATTTTACGTATCACTAGCCACGATTAATGACCCAAATATACCACAGTATTCTTTACACCAAAACAACACATTCTTACTTACAATTCTTACTACAGTCACCATAATACCTCAGGTCTCTATGAAGTCCTAATTAGTTCCTATATGTATAATTTGTCTGCGATGATGGTTGGGGAATAAAAATAAAAACTTTTAAAAATGAAACACCAATGAATATTTACAATGATTACAAGTGGAAAGTTCACTAGAACAATGATCTTGAAAGTAATCATAGAAAGAACACAAGAGGGCTAAATACGGTGCTTAGAAAGTGACTGAAGCCGAGCCGCCAGGTCAGGACCAATAATATTGCTCATTCTCCTTTGGCTTTTATCAAGAATCTCTCAATATATAGCAGCAGCACCGGAACATATGTGGCAGGAATATTCTAAGCATGGACGAATGGTAGACTTATAGATATGTAAGATAGATTCTGGAGAGAAAAATTGTCTTGCCCGACACAGTGAACCAACTTTCTTAGCAAATGACCTACCAATGGATTCAATATAATCTTTCCACTTCATGTCAGCGGAGAATGTCAGCTCCTGGGGAAATTAAAAATATTTAACCTTCTAACATTTAAAGAAAGGTATCAGTACATTAAAATATTAATTGACCGACTTTGGAAATCATAACCGTATATAAAAAAAATAATTGAGTAATATGGCTAAACATAAGTAAAAAATCATGATACAGTGTAACCCGGATATAAGAGAAACCCGGATATAAGAGAGATTTTCTCTGGTCCCAAATTAGAGCCTGTGTTAATGTATATAAAATAGACCAAACCCGGATATAAGAGAAACCCGGATATAAGAGAGATTTTCTCTGGTCCCAAATTAGAGCCTGTGTTAATGTATATAAAATAGACCAAACCCGGATATAAGAGAAACCCGGATATAAGAGACTTCTTCTCCGATCCCGACAACTCTCTTATATCCGGGTTACATTGTATAAACATTCCACCCCACTCCTACATCGTTCTCCTTTCTTGGGGGCTGGTTTCTATTTATCTGCGGTCTAAAGGTTATATTTCCCGGGATTGTGCTTAAACATTACTGCTAGTCCCTTTTAGATCAGTTTTGCTCTTCTCTAGTTTCCGGTCAGTTATTGATAGGTGTGGGTTTACGTATATTTCAGTATTATAGAATAGCTTCTAGCGATCAACTTCGCCCGTATATTTTGTCGATAATTCCATTTATAGGAATCGGCTTAAAGATATGCTACGGTAAAATTATAACCTACGGTAAGAGGCATTAAAAATATACAGTGTAACCCGGATATAGGAGAGTTGTCGGGACCGGAGAAGAAGTATCTTATATCCGGGGTTTCTCTTATATCCGGGTTTCTCTTATATCCGGGTTTGGTCTATATGTATACATTAACACAGGCTCTAATTTGGGACCAGAGAAAATCTCTCTTATATCCGGGTTTCTCTTATATCCGGGTCTCTTATATCCGGATCTATTTTTTATAGATTAACACAGGCTCTAAACGGGACCAGAGAAAATCTCTCTTATATCCGGGTTTCTCTTATATCCGGGTCTCTTATATCCGGACCTATTTTTTATAGATTAACACAGGCTCTAATTTGGGACCAGAGAAAATCTCTCTTATATCCGGGTTTCTCTTATATCCGGGTCTCTTATATCCGGATCTATTTTTTATAGATTAACACAGGCTCTAATTTGGGACCAGAGAAAATCTCTCTTATATCCGGGTTTCTCTTATATCCGGATCTATTTTTTATAGATTAACACAGGCTCTAATTTGGGACCAGAGAAAATCTCTCTTATATCCGGGTTTCTCTTATATCCGGGTCTCTTATATCCGGATCTATTTTTTATAGATTAACACAGGCTCTAATTTGGGACCAGAGAAAATCTCTCTTATATCCGGGTTTCTCTTATATCCGGGTCTCTTATATCCGGGTTACACTTTTAAATTACGGGAGATATTAAATGTGCTTATCAGACGCACGCTGATGTTTTCAGACAATTTTTTTTACTTAGAAAATTGTGTTTCCCCACACACACACACAGACACAGACACACACACACACACACATATATATATATATATATATATATATATATATCCCATGCCATTTAAGGAACTGTGTTCATGATCAAAGCAAATTCAGGAATAATAATGCTGGATACACAACTACATCCCTATCAAGAAGACTCACGTTACAACTCTCTGACTATAGCTCAATTAAGATGCATTTAAACACACACGGAAAACTCCATCCGCAACATACTTGTAGAAAATAGAACTATAATAGCTCCATCCACATGTCAAAAAAAATAGAAATAATGGAAGTACTAATAATAAAAACACTCACCACCATTAACTCTGAACACGGTCATAATATGCCGACGGTGTTTGGAAAATAAAAACATATCCCATATCTCATAAAAAATCTATACATTCCGTTAAAAATTTAAATGAAAACCATCCTTGATAATGGCAAAAAAAAAATATAGGCGAAAGTGTTCAGATATGCAGAACATTTGAATCAATTTTACAGTTTATTTCCAGAAAAGAAAACATTTATACGAACACAAAAAAAAAAAAATTATTTAAATAACTTAAATTATGCACAGGCTAGTTTTAAATCTGCACACACATATATATATATATATATATATATATATATATATATATATATATATATATATATATATATATATATATATATATATATATATATATATCCCCGTTGGGTTATATATACTTAGATGAGTATCACCACGGAAATTGTGAGTAGCGTCGCTATATCGAGTCTATTCAGTTTTTTCTTCGTCACCGATGCCCGTTGGTACAGTTGGTATGCCAGTCCGAGTTCAAATCGCGATAATGGGTGCTGACTGATGATAAGCCCCAA